CTGCGGAGACGAGAGATAGATGTTAAGATGATGTTAAGAGGAGGGAGATGATATGAGGGAGGGAGAGGTGATGTGAAGGAGGGAGAGGGATGATATGAGAGTAAGGGAGATGGTGCGAGGCAAGGAATGAGGTGTTATGAGGGAGAGAAAATGTAAAGAAGGAAGAAATTGTGTGAAGGAGGGAGAAAGATGGTATCTAGGAGGGGAGGTGCGATGGTGTGGAGGGAGAGATGTTAAATATTGTTAAAAAGAGGGAGAGACAATGAGATGAGACAGAGATGCTTAAACCATGTTAGTGAAGACATTCACGTCAGGAGGGTAGCCATGATGTTAATGGAAATGACGTGGTGGGTACAGGTGATGCAATAATATACAGTTTGTGACAAAAAAGTTTACAGACTACACAACCTCAACAACACGTCCAATAACCACCACAACCACTAAACTACCACAACTACATAACCACCATAACCCCACTCGCCCTCTTTACTACAAACACCACTTTTTATTCCTCTTTCCCCCTCTTCCCTACCTTTTTTCCCTTTTCCCTCCTCTCCTTCCCTCCTTTTCCTATTTCATTTCCTTATGAGGTCATTTTCCCCTTTTTTTCTTACACAAAGTTAAAATTTTTCCTGCCCCACGTCCGTGTAAAGGGCTAAGGTGTCGGCGGGAAGGGAAAGGTGGGGGGGGTTGAGGGGAGGGGGGAAGAGGTGAGGGGGGTATATGCAAATTGTTTTCTGTAAAATTAAGCTCTTTATGTTTCTTGGGGTAGGGGGAAGAGTGGAGGGGGGTGATGGGGGGAAGATTAGGGATTAAAGGGGGGGAGGGGAAGAGTGAGGGGGAGTAAGGGGGGGATGGGAAGTAGGGGAAGGGGGGATGGGGTGAGGGGTAAGGAGGGATGGGAATAAGTGAGGGGGATAAGGGAGGGATGGGAAGAGTGAGGGATAAGGGAGGATGGGAAGAGTGAGGGGAGTAAGGGAGGGAGGGAAAGTGATGGGGAGTAAGGGAGGGTGGGGAAGTAGGGGATAGGGAGGGATTGGGGAAGAGTGAGGGGGAGTCAAAAAGGGATGGGGGGAAGAGTTGGGGGGTAAGGGAGGATGGGGAAGAGTGGGGGGGAGTAAGGGAGGGATGGGGAAGAGTGAGGGGAGTAAGGGAGGGATGGGGAAGAGTGAGGGGGATAGGGAGGGATGGGGAAGAGTGAGGGGGATAAGGGAGGGATGGGAAGAGTGAGGGGGAGTAAGGGGGGATGGGGAAGATGAGGGGGAGTAAGGAGGGATGGGGAAGAGTGAGGGGAGAAAGGGGGATGGGAAGAGTGAGGGGGAGAAAGGGGGAGGGAGGGGGGAGAGTGAGGGGGAGTAAGGGAGGGATGGGAAGAGTGAGGGTGATAGAGGGATGGTGAAGAGTGAGGGGGAGTAAGGGAGGGATGGGAAGAGTGAGGGGGAAAAGGTAGGGATGGGAAAGAGCGAGGGGGAGTAAGGAGGGATGGAAGAGTGAGGGGGAGTAAGGGAGGGATGGGAAGATGAGGGGGAAAAGGAGGGATGGGGAAGAGTGAGGGGGAGTAAGGGAGGGATGGGGAAGAGTGAGGGGGAGTAAGGAGGGTGGAAAGTGAGGGGAGTAAGGAGGGGGAGAGTGAGGGGGAGTAAGGGAGGGAGGGGGAAGAGTGGAGGGGAGTAAGGGAGGGAGGGGAAGAGTGAGGGGAGTAAGGGAGGGATGGGGAAGAGTGAGGGAGAAAGGGGAGGGATGGGGAAGAGTGAGGGGGAGTAAGGGAGGGATGGGGAAGAGTGAGGGGGAGTAAGGGAGGGATGGGAAGAGTGAGGGGGAGAAAAGGGAGGGATGGGAAGAGTGGAGGGGGAGTAAGGGGGGGATGGGAAGTGAGGGGGAGGTAAGGGAGGGAGGGGGAAGAGTGAGGTGGTAAGGGGGAGGAGAGTGAGGGGAGTAAGGAGGATGGGGAAGAGTGAGGGGGAGTAAGGGAGGGATGGGAAAGAGTGAGGGGGAGTAAGGGAGGATGGGGAAGAGTGAGGGGAGTAAGGGAGGGATGGGGAGAGTGAGGGGAGTAAGGGAGGGATGGGAAGAGTGAGGGAGTAAGGGAGGGAGGGGGAAACGAGTGAGGGGGATTAAGGGGGGAGGGGAAGAGTGAGGGGAGTAAGGGGGGATGGGAGGTGAGGGAGTAAGGGGAGGGAGGGGGACGAGTGAGGGGAGTAAGGGAGGGATGGGGAAGAGTGAGGGAGTAAGGGGGGGAAATGAGATGAGGGTGAGGAGGGGGAAGTAGGGAGGATGGGAAGAGTGAGGGGGAGTAAGGGAGGGATGGGGGAGAGTGAGGGGGAGTAAGGGAGGGATGGGGAAGAGTGAGGGGGAGTAAGGGAGGGATGGGGAAGAGTGAGGGGAGTAAGGAGGGAGGGGAAGAGAGGGGAGTAAGGGAGGATGGGAGAGAAAGGGAGGGATGGGGAAGAGTGAGGGGGAGTAAGGGAGGGATGGGAAGAGTGAGGGGGAGAAAGGGGAGGGATGGGGAAAGAAGGAGGATGGGAGGGAGGGGAGTAAGGGAGGGATGGGAAGAGTGAGGGGAGTAAGGGAGGGATGGGGAAGAGTGAGGGGGAGTAAGGGAGGGATGGGGAAAGTAGGAGGGGAGTAAGGAAGGAGGGGATAGTGAGGGGGAGTAAGGGAGGGAGGGGGAAGAGTGAGGGGGAGTAAGGGAGGGATGGGGAAGGGGTGAGGGGGAGTAAGGGAGGGATGGGGAAAGTGAGGGGGAGTAAGGGGGGGTGGGGAGGTGAGGTGGGGTAAGGGAGGGATGGGGAAGATTTGAGGGGGGTAAGGGAGGGGGGGGGAAAGGGTTGAGGGGGAGTAAGGGAGGGATGGGGAAAAGAGTGAGGGGGAGTAAGGGAGGATGGGAAGATTTGAGGGGGAGTAAGGGGGGATGGGGAAGAGTGAGGGATAAGGGAGGGGATGGGGAGAGTGGGGGGAGAAAGGGAGGATGGGAAGGTGAGGGGAGAGGGGGGGATGGGGAAGGGGGGGAGAAAGGGGAGGGATGGGGAAAGTGGGGGAGTAAGGGGGATGGGGAAGGGGAGGGGGAGTAAGGGGGGATGGGGAGGTAGGGGTAAGGAGGAGGGGGAAGATTTGAGGGGGAGTAAGGGAGGGATGGGGAAGAGGTGAGGGGGAGTAAGGGGGATGGGAAGATGAGGGGGGTAAGGGAGGGATGGGGAAGAGTGAGGGGGAGTAAGGGAGGGATGGGAAGGTGAGGGGGATAAGGGAGGGATGGGGAAGAGTAGGGGGATTAAGGGGAGGGATGGGGAAGTGAGGGGGAGTAAGGGAGGGATGGGGAAGGTGAGGGGGAGTAAGGGGGATGGGGAAGTGAGGGGGAGGAGGTTAGGGGAGGGATGGGGAAGAGGAGGGGGGTAAGGGAGGGATGGGGAATGAGGGGGGTAAGGGAGGGATGGGAAGAGTGAGGGGGAGTAAGGGAGGGGGGTGGTAGATAGTGGGGATGGGAAAGGGGGGAGTAAGGGGGGAGGGGAGTAGGGGGAGTAAGGGAGGGAATGGGGAAGAGTGAGGGGGAGTAAGGGAGGGATGGGGAGGGGGGTGAGGGGGGAGTAAGGGAGGGATGGGGAGAGTGAGGGGGAGTGGGAGGGTGGGCAGTGGGGAGGGGGAGGGGAGGGATGGGGAAAGAATGCTGGGTTAGGTTATAAAAATCAGCAGCTTTATTACTTTTTATAATCAGGGGAAAGTGTTACACTGTATGGAACATATAATGGCTGTGCAGTTGGTGGCGATCCTATTATGACTGAAAGCAGGACAGGCCCGGTTTTTGTATCAAGATCCCCATCCCGGCATCAAGGCGCCTCCCTGGAAACATATGGTAATCATCAGTAATTGACACTTCCCTGAGACAACCTATTGGTTAGAGTGGCAGGTGTAGTGTGTTGATAGTCAGTTTTGTCATCTGATCGCTGCTTCCCACTTTTATCGTCACCCTTTCTCCTGACCTGCTTTTTGTTTTTCATTCGCCTTTCCTGTCTTCTGACATTCTCCTTACTTCTTATTATTTCCTAGTAGAGGTCAATATGCCTACTGCAGTACTTCTTTTGTCTCGACACGAATGAAAAGACACTCCCTTCTGCCGTATTTTGTTTGAACTAACCACAGGATGGCAGTTACCAAATGACTCGGAATACTTCAAACATTGTTTTGTTGTGATACCCGACACTCAGTATTACTTGACCGGTAGTATGGTTGTCGTTCGTGTTGTGACGCGTGTGTGCAAGGTACCAGCAGTTGTTTCTTACCAGGCAGCATACATAGTGCCAGCCGCACCAGTGAACGTGTCATCACGTGACAAAGACTAGTGTCAGGTTAACTTTCCTGATGAATGCAATAACAACAACAAAGGGAGAATAGGGAAGAGGAGTTATGGGGAAAATGGGACGAGAGGGAACGGGAGTGAGGAAGAATGAAACTGTTAGTGGTAATGAAAGAGGGGGATAGAGTAAGAGAAGGAATGGGATAAAATGAGAGAGAGAAAGAGAAAGAGGATGGGGGTTGAAGGGAGGTTGGTATGTTAGTGTACCCAAACAAACACTCATATCAAACGAGCACAATTTCACAGCACCAGAGAATTAATGTTCACCAGCAAAGTGTAATGACGACGTTGGGAAGGCCGTTGCGTTCACAATGGGAGCCGTTGCATCCACAACGCATGCCGTTGCGTCCGTAACAGGTGACGTTACGTTCACAACCGAAGTTGTTCAATCCACAAAGGTAGCCGTTGCGTCTAAAGGGTATTTAGTTGCGTCCAAAATGGATGCAGTTATAACGGTTTTGTTTTGTCACACAGGATGCAAGTATTTTTAGTGTTTAAAGGGACGCAAATATTCTTACTGATAAACAGGACTCAAGAATGCTTGCGTCTTATTTAACAGTAGGAATGCTTGCGTCTTATTTAACAGTAAGAATCCTTGCGTCTCGTTTAACAATAAGAATCCTTACGTCTTGTCTAACAGAATCCTTGCTTC